ACAATGCTGACATCTAGCACTTGCCTTGGGCAGTCTGTCTATGATAAATAATTTTTAATCATGAAAAGAATGGGTTTCCCTGGTGGCTCAGACAGTAAAGAATCCGATTGCAAAGTGGGAGACCTGGGTTCGATCCCTGGGGTGGGAAAATCCCCTGGAGGAGGGCATGGCGACCCTCTCCAGTATTCTTGCCTGGAAAATCCCCATGGACAGAGGAGCCTGGTGGGCTATAATCCATTGGGTCGCAAAGAGTTGGGCACAACTGAGCGGCTTACACTTTCACTTTCACCCCCACCAAGTTCTATGTCAAACCCATCCACACAATATATCATGTTAGCTCCCCGCCTTTTTTTTTTCTCACAGAACGGCTTGTCCAGACATGGTGTGAAGGGCCAGGAAGAGGGGTGTCATTACAGATCATCTGGTTGGAACACCTACCAGTTAGGGCAGGTTTGTGAGTATGAGCCTCAGGCACACTGGATCTGTTCTCTGTTCCACGGCTCCCAACTACATCCCCGGCATCTACTTACGCACTCAATCAAGATCAGAACGACTATATACCTTATTGTGGGTGGATCAGCCCTTGCATATCACCAGACTTGAGAAGCAGTTGCCTAATCATCGATCATCTCCATAAATAAAAGACAGGTATCCAAAGAATGAACAAACTATTTTTGTTGTTACACAAAACTTGCCAAATTGGAAATTATCTCCCAGTTCTAAGCATCTCTCAACAAAATGATACATGCATTTCCAGGTATACTAGGAGTAAGAAGGAAAACAAAAGAAAGGGTAATATTTCAGAAAAAATTTTTTAAAAGAAGAAAGCTGAGAAAGAGTAATAATTGGAATTTTTTGTGGAGGTTATTCTTTTTGTTTATGAAAGTGAAAGTGTCAGTCGCTCCATTGTATCTAACTCTTTGCCACTCCATGGACCCACCAGGAGCCCACCAGGCTCCTCTGTCCATGGAATTTCCCAGGCAAGAATACTGGAGTGGGTAGCCATGCCCTTCTCCAGGGGATCTTCCCCACCCAGGGATCAAACCCAGGTCTCCCACATTTCAGGCAGATTCTTTACCATTTGAGCCACTTATAATTATTTATAATTTTCCTAATATTCATAACACTAGGTTTAGATTTGAAACTCCCCACCATAAGTGTCTCTTGATCTTTCTCCAGAACTTCATATGCAGTATTTGATTATGCAACAATCAAAATTTAGAGCACATTGCGTGCAAAGTACAAAAGTAAAACATCAACACTAACTGGAAATGCCTGATAAAATACAGCTACTTCGTTCTTCCCTTGTACTTTTCAGTCTTTTCTAAGGAGACCACCATAAACATAAACTACTCTCACAACTAGGGGAAAAAAACCATTTAAACCACCTGCTAGTTAAGACAATGCCATTTTATATGTTCCAGAGTCTGTAATATGGGCGTTGCTTCTCCTCTCCTTCTTCCAATCTTCAGACAGCCAGGTTTGGAAATGAGACGCTCTACTTTGATGGAAGGCAAACATCAAATTATTAACCACTCCTGAATTTCACAAGTCTAACATTTCAAATGAGAGATTTCAGCTCACTCCACACAGTTTAACATGCTTGTGCTCAATAAAGCATTGCTGATAGAAAAATTAGCTTGAATAATGTGTGAGAGGGTAAAGACAGATTTTTAGGCAGTCGCTCTGTGCCCTTACAAACGAACGTTCGAGAGGTAAAGAGGGAGAAGGGCCTTTCCTTTGACCTAGCACAGGATCTCTGCAGCAGTGTGTGCAGTGTTTAGAAAGGAATGCATACAGAGAGGTACCCAGCCAGCCAGATCAAACCTTGTGCTCAGCCAGAAGAAACATTTTGAAGCCAGATGACCATGGTATCGCATCTTACGAATCTTATCTAGTGCTCCGTCTTTAGCCTTCGTACCAGTGACAGAAAGAAAAGGTGTGGATGCTGGGTGTATCTGAACAGCCATTTAAGCTATGGTTTCTATTAGTATTTTTAAAATCTACCTTCCTGCAACCAATCCTTTTACTTTGCTGGTTAATTTTAACACCATCTTTAAGAGGTGATAGCTAATGGAGAGCATAAGAGACCAGACACAAGTAAAATGTAGCACCTCTCTGGCTAATCCGGAACTGCCAGTCACAGCTCAATCCAATACAGTTACCACCCCCAGGCCCGGGTGTGCAGGCTTATTTTGGAGTTAGACCCAGCTGGGGCTTGAAACCGGCTCCAGACGTTTCATAGCATTGCCAGATGGTGGGATCCTCTAGGAAGCAGTTCTACTGTGGGCTTTTTACTCCCTAACCAGGTCTTTGAACATAATCTGCTTTCTCACCCAGGCACCAGCAAACTCAACCTTCTCATTCCTAACTAATCTGGTCTCTATATCTCTACTCAACGAAGAAATGAGGAAAGAGAAAAACCAGGGGGAGAGAGAGGAAGAGAGGAAACGATTAAGGTCTCCTATTTCCTGGACATGCTAATAGAAGCCAGTTTTCTTTTTCTTCTTGGTCATCATGATTTCTACCCCCACCCCAAGTGCTGTTTTTCCTATTTTTAGCTTTGTTTTGTTTTAAGAAATCCTTTTCTTCAGTCTTATCTGATGATTCAATTTTAAAACCCACTGACATCTTTACCAACCATCCCACAGTCAAAGCATGGTCTGGGTTTATATTAAGAAATATCCCTGGCAAACCAAAAATATGCTATTTTTAAAGTAGTTTCTCCACAGCATGAGTATTTTGTTTCAGTGTTTGGTTGTTTTGTGTTTAGGTTTTGGTTTTTGATTTTTGTTCTTGGCCAATTGATACGTCTCCCTTTCCATTCATTTTCAAGCCTCGTCCACACTGATTCTGTGAGCTCCCCCAAATTTTTGCACTAAATTCTCTTTTGCTTTAATTAGACAACTGTTGGTTCACTGGCATGGGTTTAGCCAGCGTGGTCAGTCAATAAGCAAAAATAAGCAATACACCTGGCCTCTGTCTTGCCCCTCACCTCTTCTCCCAGTTCTAAAATTTCTATAGATTAAGCACAGATTAGATGACAATTACCCAAATATTATCTCCTAGATAAATGTCTCAGATCACTAAACTGAAATTAAGTGAATCAGGAACAAGAGTTGATACAAGACAGGACTATTTCAGCAGCTTAACTTGAGATGTATTATATATATACATACCTGGCTGTGTTTGGTCTTAGTTGCGGCACAGGGGAATCTTCCTTGCATCACGTGGGATCTTTCCTTGTGGAGCAGGGACTCTCTAGTCTTAGCGCTGGGGCTCAGTACTTACAGCGCTAGGCGTTTGAGGTGCACTGTCTTCTTAGCTCCCCAGCATGTGGGATCTTAGTTCCCCCACCAGGAATAGAACCCATGTCCCCTGTATGCAAAACAGATTCTTAACCATTGGACCACCAGGAAAGTCTTGTGAGGTGTATTCTTAAAAGACACAAGGAAAGCTATGCGTGTGCATGCCCTTCTGCAGCACTGGAGGTTGGGACGTGGTTTAGTTTTAGCCCATCATGGGCTTCAGTGAAAGACTGTGGTAGGATCCTAACCAGTAGTCTTCTCCTCTGATATTCTTACTTCTTTGTAAATAAATGTCAGTGGGACAGAAAGAATTGGAACTCCGAGAAAGGGATAATGACGGAAGTCATCAGCAGAGCTGGTGACAGAGCTGGTGATATAGATCTCCTTACATATACCATAAACCAGGTCATTCAAATGCTTTCTTGAAAACTACCTCTGCTGCTCTTTCCAAGGCAGGACAGACACTATAGTTTCCATCTGCCTGATGAAACACTGAGCTGCAGAGAGAAGTCAGCTTTCAAGGGTCCAAGGCTGAAAGGCACATCTCTGGCTTCTCCTATAAAGAAACCAAAGATGTAGGCTGAGTAATGCGTTGGCTAAGAGAAACAAGTGGTAAATGAGGAAAGAGTTGGAGACCTTTAATTATTTATAGCTTCAATAGCGGTTCTGAGAGGAGTCCCTTACCCTGAAGTTGAGGATAACACCTGGTTGTCTGAGAGAAAGGGCTGGAACCGGGGCAGGTGCTCAATTAATGTCTAATGAACAAATGAGACAGGGCAAGACAACGATGGGCAACCTGAGAGAGGGCCTTAGTGCCCTGAACAGTGTTTTGATTCAGCACAACGGGTAAACAGAAGCCTTTGGGGAGGGTTCACAGAGAAAGCACTAGAGGAGAAACTCCCTGCCTTACTGGAAAACAACTGCACAAACTTTTACACTCAGATTTTTTTTTCCAACGACGAGAGCTAAAATAATGAACAAGAGTTCCGCCTCCAACCAGTCACTGTGGCAAACTCCAGAGACAAGAGTTTTTTCAAGCTTTGGAGCTGCTCTGCCTTCACCCCCCGAAACGTGCTACTGGAGCGACCCAAGGCTTCCAAAGAATAGCAGCAGCTTGCAGACAGTTAAATCACTGTAAATTCAAGCCTGTCAAAGACGCTCGCGAGCTCCGGGCGGTCGCGGGCTCGGAGCAGCGTCGCCCAGCGGGCAGACACAGCGGCTGCGCTCCGGGGCCTCCCTCCTCTGCTCAGCGTTCCGGCGCCCGCGAGCCGCCCCCTCCCCGGCGGCCGGTGTGGGGGCGGGGGGACACTCCGCCGGCGATGGGAGGGCGGGCGGCGGCCGAGCGGGCGCCGCTATTGGCTGGCAGGGCGGCGGCGGAGGGGCGGGGCCGCCGTGATTGGCGGGGGGCCCAGCCGAGGGGGGCGGGGCCGTTATATCTAAGGAGTCCCCGTCGCGGCGCAGGCAGTCGGGCTGCTGGAGTGCGGCGCCGCCGCGGGACCCGGGAAGCCGGCTGACGCGCGGGCTGGCGAGGCAGAGGGGGTTGGTGCGCGGGGCGCGGCGGCTGCGGGGCGTAGGGCAGGGGTCTGCAGGGCTGCCGTCTCCCGGGGGCCAGCCTCGCTGATCCCGGAGCTGGGTCTGAGCCCCGCGCACACCAAAGACGAGGCGGCTGTGGCAGCAGCGGCGGCCCCAGCCATGCTGTGCTATGTGACGAGGCCGGACGCAGTGCTGATGGAGGTGGAGGTGGAGGCGAAAGCCAACGGCGAGGACTGCCTCAACCAGGTGAGGACCGGGGCCCCCTGCCGGTCCCCGGAGGCCGGGGTCGGGGGGGGGGGGGCCTCGCGGTGGAGCCGGGAGACGGCGGCGGTGGGGAGTGCGCCTCAGGCGCCGGGCCTGCGCCCCCTCCTTCCCGAGACCGTAGGGGCGCGCGGCCCCCTTCCTGGCGCGCGCGGGGGTGGCCCGTTGGTGGGGGTGGGGCGGGGGCGCGGAAGACGGGCCGCGGGGCCTGCCACCCGGTCCCCCAGCCCGGCACTTTGCCCGAAGAAAGCGGCCCGACACACCTGCTGCAGGTGGTGTGTGCACGAGGCCGCCTGTCGTCCCCGCGGGGCCCGGCGGCGCCACCCGCGTCCCGGGATGTGGTGGCCGGAGGCGGTCGCAGGTCCCTCGGGTTGCTGGGTAGACAAGCCGGGCCCCTTGCCTCTTGCTACTTCTCAAGCGGACAGTTCACCGCCCTGCCTCTCCCGATTTGCTGGGGACGTGGGTTTGGGTCATAAACTCCTTGGTTGTCTGTCAGCATGCGCGTTTCCTTAGGAGTAAAAAACCGTTCCAAACAGCGCCTAGTGGTGTGGCAGACGGCAGGATTTGCTCTCGAGTGTGCCCTCACCCCCCTCGACCTGAGGTGTTTGGAAAGCCTTCTGTAAAGCTTAGCAGACACTTGTGGCGTGTTTCCTCAGTGTGTTTATTTTTTTGGAACCCAGATGGTTAAAATTGTCCAAATAATAAGCTGCCAAATCAGCTGTGCAGATTGTGCTGGTGGAGGGAATTCCAGTGATTGGATAGAATAAGAAGGAAAATACCCCGTGGATTCCCTTCCTCAGGCTTTCTGGAAGGCTACATTTTGAGAACTCCTTTTGTGCTCTGTCTCTATACCACATCTAGTGGTTTAGCATCACTGGAGCCTTAGAACTTTGTTCTTATAGCCTACAACAGGAATTGTAACACCGTTGTTGAACTTCGTGTTGTGTTTTTTTTTTTTTTTAAAAGCAAAACATATGCAAGAATCTTAGATGGAGTCTTAGTTTGCTTTGACCACATGGACCACTTGCTTATCTATGCTGCATTCATTTTTGTTTTAGGTGTGCAGGAGATTGGGAATTATAGAAGTTGATTATTTTGGACTGCAGTTTACGGGTAGCAAAGGTGAAAGTTTATGGCTAAATCTGAGAAACCGGATCTCCCAGCAGATGGATGGGCTAGCCCCTTACCGGCTTAAACTGAGAGTCAAGTTCTTCGTGGAGCCTCATCTCATCTTACAGGAGCAGACTAGGTAAAATGATGCTAAAATAAACCAATGTCAAATAGACCTTTGATTCCCTTTACAGAGAGCCATTGCGCCTTCCCAGAGATGCTCACGCATACGTTTGTTTTGATTCAGAGGTGGTTCATAACTTAGAAGTTTTCCATAGCACAGTTCTTTTGTTGAAGGTGAAGAGAGAGCAGCATAGTTGGCCAGGGGTACATTTTCCAGCTCTTGCAGTATTTTTCTTGTCTTTATAAACAATGGGAGAGCAAGGATGAATTCTTAAAAACATTTGAGATCAGCGCCACAATTCAAAAAAATTTTGAAAAGAAAGAAAAAAGACCCAGCTGACTTCCTGATAACAGCGGCTATTGCCCGATAGTAACCTCTGCCTCAGCAGTGTTACTGTAGGTCATTGCAGACTGTTCTAACAGAAAGCAGGAAACAGTTCCTCTTGGGTTACTTAAACTTGGTCAACTTCTTCAGCCTAGTGTCAGATTACAGTGTGTAGCAAAGAGCTCTTTCTGAATTTTTTAAATTTTTCAGTTTCTTGCAAATTCAGTTAAGAAAACTCATCTAATGCCAGTAGTAACATGCTACCCCACAAATACATTACACATGATTGTTGAGTTTAGATTGTTAAATTTCTCTCTCTACTTCTAGAAAGCTACCAGTAGTGCAAGACAATTGGAGTGTGTGGTTTCCTTTTTCAAACAGAAAATGGATTCTCCCCTGGACTAGACGTAATACTTTTCTCAAGGATGAGCTAAGCTAGGAAACTGGTGTTTAATATTTATTGCTGAAATGCAGGAGAACTAAATCTTAGAGTGGCATATTTATTTAAAAAAAAAAAAGGAAAATGACTACTTTTAAACACAGCAAACTTTGGATCTTAGTTTTCATGTTTTCCTACTTTGGCTTGGAAATTTGCCATGCCCATAAAAAATGTGAGTGTGACAGTTTTGAGTAATGATGAGTGAGCCATATTCTTTAACATTTTTTAGCATGTCATTTTATTTTTTTGGTTGTTTACCAGAGGATGGCTAAACACATTTTGAAATACTGTTTATTTGAATTTGAAATCTCTGCTTTGCCTTATCATGGAGCTTTAAAGGGTGAGGGAAACGTTCAATTTTGTATCTGAGAGAAGCTAGTATATTGAATTCTTAGTGCTTCTAAAAACGTCTTGCAAAATATTCAAGTAATTCCATGTTTAAGAATGTCTTAGCTGTCTGTATGACATCAGGATAGGTTGCACTTTTTGTTTTTTAAAGCTGATTTGTGAATGCTTCTACTTTACAGTTCAGTTTGATACCTTGCAATTTAGTAAGAAAAAATTATTTGTATATATATAAAACACAGCATCTTGGAATTTTCATTGTTTAGTTTTATCCTGATTTTGCAGTTATTTCAGGGCATCCATTTACAAATATGTTTTGATGACACAAATTTATTTTTTAAATCTGCAGAAGCTTGGAGGACTAAATACATCATTAAATGGCAGCAGTCATAACAGTATAACATGCATTTGTATTATAAATGCTTACAGATTTTACAGTTTGCTACTAGACATTATTTGCCTGTGCTTTCTTTTTAATAGAATTAATAACTATTATCAAATCCATTTTATTCATGCAAGAAATACAGACATTTTATGAATTAGGACTGGAATCAAATTTCCTACTTTATTGACTCAATTGACTTTGACTCTTGAAATTCAAGCCTAATAGCACTCAAAGAGTGCACATACCTGGTTAGGCTGGGTAATTTTAATTGATTTGAAATCATACCAAAAAATTCAGGTGATCTAAACTTTTGATTTTAAAATATTGGTGTATTTTACTTTTCTGTGGGGTTGTCTGAAGTAACAGAATTTTAAGAAAATGCCACCTAAAGTTTATATAGCATTCAGCTTTAATAAATAAAGTGATTTATAATTAGCTTTGCACCTTTTCATTAGGAACATAAGTTGTACTGGGCCCAGTTTTGCTACAATTAGCATTGTGTTTATGTACCAGATACTACAGAACAGGAACACTTATTTTTCCTAATGTTATGTTAACAAGATAAAGCTGGTTGGTTAATGTTTTTGATGTTTAATCATTTGTTATAAAATACTGATATAAAATGCCATGGAAGTAAAATAGATCTATTTACATAGTGAGTAAGCTCAGCTTTCCCAGTCCAGTTATGAGAGGTGATATTTTAGCATCTCTCAGTTGAGTCGTGAGGGTACACTTAGTATACTGAAAGTGTCTGGACAGTTTATTAAATGGTGCTGAAATATCCTGGCCAAGTTGTCCTCTGTGGACAATTAAAGCAGCCTGCTTATAGTAGAGCTGGCCTAACTGGGGGCAGTTCATACATTAGTTTGCATCAGATTAGGGAGGCTGCTAAAGAATGACAGGCGGGAGGGCCTGTCTTTAATAGGAGAGTCCCAGGGGCCACACGGAAGCCCTGCATTGGTTCAACTCAGCCACCAACCACCAACGTAAACAGCCTTCTAAAACTTGAGCCCGGCTGAAAACCCTGAAAGAGTTTCTTTAAGATCCCTTCTAGCAGATTTTTTTTTCTTAGCTTCTACTTCTCTTTATATCACTTTCCTAATGCTTTTTCTAGATAACTTTTCTCTGAAGACAGAAAAAACATTTCCAGTGTCTGCTTAGATTGGTAGATAGAGTTAGTCTGGCCTCTGATGTGGCCTAATTTTAGATTTGATTCTTTACCCAGACTATTTTGTTTGCTCTTGAATGAGGAATTCTGGAAAGTAACCCGAGAGTTTTGTTTAGACTCAGCTGGAACATTTCAGAGAGGAGGACAGCAGGTATTTTCAGCAGATGTTTGCCATGCTGTGGATTAGAACGAAACATGAGACTAATATATTCTGAAAGTGGATCTGAAATCACAGTGATCTTTGAAATTCTTACCTTTCAGAGGCTCTTGGTTATTCACAGCAATTCAGACCAGATTTTGTCAAAATTTTCAAAACCAGAGATTAGAGAATTATATGCTTCATCTTCAGGGATGGTATTTATACCATCCACTGCCAATAAAATCTTTCTGTTTCTCCTGACTTTGCCGCGTTTTAGCAGAACTCTGTGTTCTTTGCTAAGGGGCACCCTTTTTAGTTAAGATTCACCAACACCTGAATCCTTTATCCCAGAGAACAATCCTAATACAAGTGCTTCATGAGTGCTGAAGTACATGTTCAAGGAAATGCCATAATCCTGAACGTCGCATCCCATTACGGTCTTAAAGCTGTGAGCAGTGATGAGTGTGACTGCAGACCCCAGCTCACTCATCACTCCTTGGAAAAGCCTGCTCTAGGCCCACTTAGGAGACTGAACTCTCTATATATCGTGCCGCTTTCCTTTACATTTAACAAATGTGTAGCACTCATTTACTTTTGTGATCGTTTGCTTATTGTCAGCCACTCTAATAATCTGAATTCCATTAAGAAACCTAATTAACCTTGTATCCCCAGAGTCTGGCAAGTACCTGGTGTATAAATATTTGTTGAATCAATGAATTAAGAACTTGTAAGTCAGTAAAAATGGGGTTAACTGATACTGATAATATAGATTTTCTTGTAGATATTGACAGGTTTTGCCAGTTCGCTTCTATAACCTGAGAAGTTTGAGACGATCTAAAAGAAATCTCACCATTAAACGTTTTCTAGTGTTTCTTCTCGGTTAATAATTTGCTCAGTGCTTGGCATTCTTCTGTTTGTTTGCTTGCTTCCTTCGTTTGCCCCCTCTACTCCATTCAAAGCCATTTGTTCATTTTGGCTATTTGTTCTTATCAAGGATGAACTACCACCTGCTTGGACCTTTTAGGAAGTTCAGATAGTTTTCAAGCTGCAGGCTAGCTTTATCTAATTTCAGCCAATTTGTAGGTCCTTGGTACTTATTAAATTCAGTTTTTCCCTGTCACCCAACAGAAATCACTTAGACATGTGAAAGTTCAGGAATGATGGCATCACTGAAACCCACAAAGCAAATACCACATGTAAACTATAGGCAGAGATGAGGTAATAATCTCAAATCGATCCACAGCTAAATCACATTGACCCTAGCCCATGCCTGTAATCATGTTCAGAATCTTATAAAACATTGTCACGAGGGTAAATGTTGATTCTTATGTATAATGTAAACTTACCTTTGTGTGATTCAGGATGGGTAAATTCCATAAGATGCATTGTAGGAATATTATGTTCTTCATATCAACTGCATGTCTGAGAGTGGAACAACACATTCTTTTTTTTTTTTTTCTTTTTATGCACAAATATAACATAGGCCCCAGGAAAGTAAAAAAGGTTAAAAACAGACATGTATATTATTTTCAAAGAAAGTATTAATTACATTTCTGAATTCTAATTTATTACGTCTTTCTGCTCAGTATATGGGATGTTTGTGTGGTTTTATGTTTATTTCAGCCACAGGATGCCCACCTGGGCACCTTCAGTCTCTTTTTGAACTTCTGATACTTATATATACATATAAAAGATCAGAGAACATTGAGAAATTGATTTTTATGTAGCCAAAATGAACTTTTCATTTTGAATGTCATTATAAATAAAATCTGACTATTTAGAGGGCACTGGGGGTCAGACCCAGGGTGACCAGTAGGATTAGGTTCCAGGTATGTTTATTCTCTGAGTCGTGTCCCTGATTCCAGGCCTCTAATCTAGATTGCTGAGAAAGAAATGATAGTTAACACTATGAAACTCTGCGATTGCCTGGATTGTTATTTGCCCAGGGACAGCTATCTCCAGTGAGTGAATAATCATACCTTTTAGAAATGAGATTTTATGCTTCCAGGTATTTTTCTGGAGTGAGTTGTAATCAATTTGAAGTTCGGAATTTCTCTCACCTGTACCCTCCTTACCGTTTAACTGCTTTGGAGACTGAGAAGGAAGCAAATTTATCAGTGATTCCCATTTTACATTTTGGGCTTTGAGAAAGATTTCCTTAAGCCTGAATAGAAACCTGACTTGGTAATTATTGGCTGTGACAGGTTTCTCAGTT